TATGATGTAAATTCCTACTTTATTTATCAACAAAATAGAGTTTAAATAATATATTATACACCATTAATCAGTTTTTTACACCATCAAATTGTGTTTATTTTATTATAACAGATGACATATCTATTTTGTATGGTGGCAACTTGCACGTCATTTGCTAAGGTCAAACATTTGTTTTATTGTTCCTTTATATTATTCCTTTCTTCTTACCTTAGTTACGTTCAAAAGGCGAATACAAAATTTAAACTTGATATATTTCATTTTAAAGACTTTTATACAAACTTGTAAAATTTAATTGAGTTTGTTAAGTCTCATATTGGTGAGATGAGAAGAAATTGATCTCTTTATATAGTTTTGAACAATCCTTCCCTCTTGATCTAATTTTTGAGTTGAGTTAGACCTAATTTTCATTTTTTTAATATAGTAACAGAGTCATGTGCATCTCAATTAATTATCCTTTCATAATGAGCCTATATTTTATATTGTCCACACTCAAGATGTCCATTTGTGTTGAGTTTCACATTGATGGTATAAACATAAATTGATCTCTTTATCTGGTCTCCTATTGGGATAGTTAGGGTGTTAAGTCCGCCATCTATGGGACGAGGAGAAATTGATTTCTTTATAATCGTGAACAATTCTCTCCTCTTGAGCTAGCTAGGGTGTTGGGGTTAAGTTAGATCAAGGTCATTTCCTTAACAAAGTCCAACATACGAACCATAAGCTCATCTAGCTGACTAGCTCCCATGCTGTATACGTTGAGGTTAAGTTAGATTCAAGGTTCATTTTCTTAACATAATCCATCATACGATCCATAAACTCTTCTACCTGATTAGCTCCCATGCTATGGGCCGGAGGATTGGGCTTAGTATATCATGGGAATTTGAAAAGGAAATCAAAATGTAGCAGGCTGCATCAACAGGCCTCAAAATAAAAGAAAAATGAAGGTTTTGGGCTTATGATGGTGTAGCTCAGTTAAAGTCTTAAAGAGCATGCTGAACACCCCAACTACCCAAAACCTTGATCAAGAAGATTGTAAAACAGGCACTAAAAGGGAAAATTAATATACTACTAATAAAGAGCACATTTCACAGAAATTTTATTTGTCACTTACACTCTAAAAACCTATTTTTTCTATACGAAAAAGATTCAACTATGCCCTTAAAGTATGTGAAATTGAATAGACATGCCCTTCGTCAATAGTTTTACTTATATATGATCTTACCATTTAATGATTGATTCAAATATATCACTATTTTAAGTGAACCCCCAATTAACCTTATTTGTTGATTCATAAGAGTTTTTTTTTTTGTCAAATATGCCCTTACAATAATAACAACATAGTCATCCACAAGTGAAGTCTAGAAAGGGTAGTGTATATGCAGATCTTACCACTTACACTCTGTTTGGATCATTGTTACCCATTGTTTCATAATATATTGTATTGTATTGTACTCTATTGTACTATACTGTATGGTAGATACAATGTTTGTCTAGACTATATTGTTTGTTGTTGTTTAATAACATTTTAATTGTTTGGTTTGATTGTATCATATAGTATTGTAATTTATAAATTTACTAAAATATCCTTAACTATTCTAGGGTAGGAGATTTGACTAGAATTAAATAATATAAGGTAAACGGTAAAATAGTATTTTGAAATATTATGTAAAGATATAATTGGAAAAAGAAATTAAGTAACAATGGGAACACACCAAATCGGTTGTTCCATAAAATAGGGGTTTTCATTATTACGTAACAACGAAATTTAACAATACAATACAATACATTTTAAGTAACAATCAAAACAAACATTGTAGGTATAGTAACGATACACTACAATACAATGGGTAACAATGATCCAAACAGAGTGATAGTGCCTTGTGAAGTTATAAAGTCTGCTAAGTCGTGAAGGTATAGAGTTTGTTTCCGCAAATATTCCCTAAATTATCAAATATGTGCTCAATTTCAAATACTTTGAGGGTATATATGGTTTTTCCGTTTCACTAAATTTATTTGAACAAAGAATATGAATACATTTTGATATCCTTCTGCCTCATTGTGGATAACCCAATCCAAAGGCTTGCAGTTTGCTCCTTCACTGCAAAAATGGCTACTTCTTCTTCCTTATCTTTCTTTTCTTCCACCATTTTCTTCTCTAACTCCAACACCATCCACTCCTCAAAGCAGCAGCAGAAGCACCTCATTTTCAAATCCAAACAACAACAATTCTCCATCCGTTCAGAGGCCGCCGCCGCCGCCGCCACTACTTCCAA